GTTACTACTATTGAGCAAGGTACCCCCTATACTATACCTGTGCATTTGGTTTTTCTTGCCTAAATGTAGAACCTTGCTTTTTTCACCATTGAATTTCATTTTGTTAGATAGCGCCCAGTGTTCAAGTCTGTCCAGATCCTTCTGTATCTTAAGCCTGTCTTCTGGAGTGTTGGCTATTCCTGCCAGCTTGGTGTCATCTACAAATTTGATGAGTTCCCCATCTATCCCCTCGTCCAAATTGTTGATATAGATATTGAAGAGCACTGGGCCCAGAACAGAGCCCTGGGGTACCCCACTACACACTTCCCTCCATGTAGATGCGGTTCCATTGAGGACCACACGCTGAGTACGGCCGGTCAGCCAGCTACGGATCCATCTGGTGGTGGTGCTTTCTACCCCACATTTTTCTATCTTGTCAAGTAGTACTGTCAGGCCCTGCGAGACCTACCCATCCGGACGGCTGGGACCGTTGCCTGCGTGTTGTTCCACCTTCCGGCGAGGGCCCCGACTCAGCTGTTGCCACTCTGCTGCTCCCGGCGCCATTGTGGCCAACCGGCGTTCTGGTCTGCTGACGTCATCGGGAGGCGCCCTCGTTTCGCATGCTGCTATCGGGGTTGAGAGCCGTCCTCCCAACTGGCAGACGTTATCAGGAGGCGTCCTGCTTCACCTGAAGCGAATAGGGCTAGGACATGCCGGACGAACGCCTCACTGGGCCTGACAGCTTCCAGGTGCTCAGCAGAGCTGGATGGCGAGAGGGGATGTTGGCTTGTTCCGGGGGGTGGGGCTAGGCGGGGTGGGGTCCGGTGCGGGCGGGACGGGCTTATTGTATATAAAGCACTGGGAGCAAATCACTCCCAGTGCTAACTTTGTTTCCTTATGGCGATTAAAGCTTTTTGGTTGTTCAACGTTCCTGTTTTCTGGCTTTCTGTGGAGCTCAAATAGGACATTCTAACAGTAAGTTAGCACTCCAAATCCCTTCCAACCTGTTGTGGCCTCTCCTCGGTTCCCGATAGTGCGAAGGAATGGCAGAGGGAACGCAAGGCGCCGCACCGGAAGCGGAGCCGCTTGACCTGACAGACCAGCCTGAGGTCCCATCTGTGGGGGAGGTGAAGGAGGCCCAGCCGGTGGTGCGACCTAAGGACAGAGTGCAGCTGAGGCCCAGCAGCCAGCGTCTACGGCTTCGTCGGGGGAGTGGTGGCTAAGCCCTGCTCTGCAACACCCTGGGGGGGTGGACAGCAAGTATCAGGTACAGGACCTGCATTGAGCGGTTGGCGAGAGAGACGCGTGACTGGGGACGAGGATGAAGAGTGGAGCTACTCCACCGCTCCAGGACAATACACTCTGGACGTTCTCAGGGACCAGTTTGGGGAAACGGGCTACCTCGCACCGCCACCATCGCAGCCCAGGGCTGTCTCTGGGCTAGGGCCGCCAGCGGAGTCTTCCAGGTTCCATCTGGCCAGCCCGAAGCTCAGACTGACACCAGGCAGCCATCCTTCCCTGACAGGACCTGCTGTGGGTCTTGGTTCGGTTGAGCGGTTGCAGCACCACCGGCAGGGCCGACAGGCTGCGGCTCCGGTTGTAGACCCCTCCGGACAGCCCGGGGGGTTGCCAGGTTCTTCAGGGCCATGGGGAGTGGGACCAGATGGCCGTCGCCCTACAGCCTCGGACGGGGCTCAGTATGGAGGACCAGCAATAGCCCCTTGGCCTCAGGCAGTGCTGTGGAACCCACCTCCTATCACAGTATCGTTTGACGGGGACCCAGACCGCCTGTCGAACTTTATGAGCCATGTGCTTAGCCACCTGGACCGTTTCACTACCTTGTACCCATCCAATTGGGCGATGGTGGTGGCTGTGACGGCAAGTTTACAGGGGGAAGCGGCGGCCTGGGCTGCAGATTTATATAGTGATCACGCCTGGGAGTTGGCCGATATAGACCTGTTTTTGGACGCCCTGAAGACCAGGTTTGAGGACCCCTCCTGGGTGCAGCGAGCAGAGGCAGAGGTGCTGGGGTTACGGCAACGAGGCAGGCCAGCAAGGGAGTACGTACGTGAATTCCAACAAGCTGCCGGGAGGCTTCGGTCATGGCCGGAGCGCCTTTTGGTCCACCATTTCCGGGCTGGCCTAGACAAAGAACTCCGCCGGGCATGTGTAGTGAGGGGCATCCAGTGCCAACTCCCAGAGTGGTTCCGGGCAGTGACAGAGCTGGATGCAGGATTACGGGAGGTCCAGAGAACACCAGACGAACAGCTAAACCCACGGCGGGTGGTCGAGCAGCCAAAAGACGTCGGTCGACAAACCCCGGCTCCTAGTCCCACCCCAAGGCGGTGTTTAGGTGTTTCAGGTGCAACCGGCCGGGACATCGAGTAGCTGAATGTCCGGTTCCAGCAATGCCCAGCACACCAACTGCCATCGGTAGGCCAGGGGCTACACCACAGAAGACCACGGAGAGGTCAAGGGCCGCCCGCCAAGCGGAAGACGGATCTCCCCAATGATCTCCAGGTGATCCAACGCCGGGTCTGGACGAGTACAACGATGGAGACCCAGCAGAGGACCCCATGGTGAGTCAACCCATAGCCCCCTTTGCCATCCCAATCACGTTAACAAGTCCACTCACAGGGCGTTCTGGCGAGTACCAGGCCCTGATTGATACAGGATGTACTCGCTGTCTAGTCAGTAAGGAAGTGGTAGAGAGGGTTGGCATTAGAGTGACTCGACTGGCTTCCCCCATCCGATTCGAGCAGGTGGATGGGTCCCTATTTGGGGGGGCGCCACATTAGTGACAGAACCGGTACGGATGGAAATGGGTAAACATTAGGAGACCCTCCGGTTCATAGTGGTCCCTTCTATGACTGAGGCGGTGATCCTGGGGTTGGCCTGGTTAGATAAATGGACCCCTACTATGTGGTGGGCTGAAGGGTGTCGTCACTTACGGCTAGGAGTCAGTCCTCAACCGCCCCGGCCAGACGTAGACGAGCCAAAGAAGGGTACAGAGGGGTCCAAGGCAGCTCAGGAGGAAGCTGCGCCTAACTTTCCAGCAGCATACAATG